GTTTATAATTAAGAGAAGGATGCACATACCGCAAGACATGACATGAGCAAGTCACTCCAAAAGCGAAATATGGAAATAATTTGACGTAAGCGATCCCAAGCGTCCAGCACTGGGTGCTACAATACGTTATATACGCTATTATATACGTAATATACTATATTATATACGCTATTATATACGCTATATACGCGATTATACGCTACAATACGTTATTTATTTGATATAAGAGGACACTTCGGCCGCTTTTCATCCACGCGTCTAATACTCATCGTTCGCCAATTGCCGAATCCACGGCTAATGATTTTTTGACTGAAGAAAAATAACACACTTCACTTTCTTTAATGTAGTTAATCAAAACGTTCTTGATGTATTCTAGTGATGAATTAAAGATAGTCGCAATTAAAGTATCGAATCACTCCCACCGGCTTCAAAGAAACGTTTCAGTTTCAATGAGCACAAGAAAAGTTTCAGTGGCGTTGACTGAGTAGACATTACATCTCAGTGCCACCGAGAAAACTAAAAAGTTCAGTGGCACTGACCGAGTAAATTATGAAATTCAGTGAGACTGAGTAGACAACAACGTGAATGGAAACCGTTGGATTTATAAACTAAAGCTTATAGTGCAGGGTGAACGGAAGGTCAGCGGAGCTACCGCAACGTAGAAGTTTCCTGTCCGGGTAGATTATATATATAGCTCGACGGTTAGGGTCTCTCTATATTATTTATATTATTTCACTTTTTGCAATATATTATAAAACATTTCCGTGTGTCACTGGTGAAAATCTCTTCCCGACCAGATCGGGCCGGCCCGGAGTACCAACCTACAGCTAGTGACGACAAATGACGTTATGATAAATATGACAGTGATATATAGAACTAATTAAGAAATATGGCAGTAATATATAGAACTAATTAATAAATATGGAAGTAATATATAGAACTATATAATAATTATGGCAATATTAAATAGAACTAATTATAAATATGGGCAGTATTAAAAAGAACTAATTAATACGTATGGCAGTAATATATAGATCTAATTAACAGGTATGGCAGTAAAATGGAGAACTAATTAATAAGTATCTCAGTAATATATGAAACTAATTAATAAATATGGTAGTAATATATAGAACTAATTAATAAATATGGTGGTAATTTATACAACCAATTAATAAATATGGTGGTAATATATAAAACCAATTAATATGCTTTGTTATCATACAAACGAGTCTGTTTCATGGACCATATCGCGTTCTCCGATCAGAGAAAAGACCTTATGAGTCTCATTGAGCAGATAAAATCTTATCAGTCTCATCGTGCAGAAAGAATCTTACCAGTACAATCGAGCAGGAAGAATCTTACCAGTTTCATCAAGCAGAAAGAATCTTATCAGTTTCATCGAGCAGAAAGAATCTTATTAATCTAATTGAGCAAAAAGAACCTTATCAGTTTCATCGAGCAGAAAGAATCTTATCAGTTTCATCGAGCAGAAAGCATCTTATTAGTCTCATCAAGCAGAAATAATCTTATCAGTCTAAACGAGCAGAAAGAATCTTATCAGTGTCATCGAGCAGAAATTCTTCTGCTAGTGTCAGTCGTCCTCGCTCAACGACTGAGATGCAACCACACAATCACAGAGCAAACTGCTTTTGATCTTCGTTTCAGCCGATTAATCGAAATTATAATTAAAAATTTCGGCTAATAGAAAAATTAAAACTCCGGTATTCAAATTCCGATTATTATTATTAATTTCGAATTGAATTAAGATAATTTACAGTTGATAAAATTGTACAAATGTTTAGTAAAGCTAAAAATTGTTAAAATATGACATATTGTCATATCAAGTTATGATCAAAGAAGCTAAAACATTCAAGCAAGTATAAATTATTCTCAAATTACGAATAATCAATAGAACAATTGCCGCCGGAACGTGGTCTTTTCGCGTGAATATCATAACAAATGTTCTAAAAATGATGGATTTTTATCAACGACAATGATAGATAGTAGACTGGGAGAATATTACAACCTTGTCATAGAAATTAATAAATAAATTAATTGATCACTTGAATTGAGCTGAATGTCATGGGACGTTAGCTTAACGATGGCCTTGAACGACAGCCGGAGCAGCCCGGCGCGTATATAAGGAGCGCGGCACCCGCTCAGGCTGACACACGCAGCGCAACGAGGCCGGAGGCAAGACGCACTGTGAGCTCCCGTGGATAATTCGGAACAAACAAACATGATTAGTTTCGCCTTCTTCGTGCTGGTCACTACTGCTTCGGTTTACGCGTAAGTTATTGTTAATTTAAATTAGTTAGTCTAACCATAATTTTATAAATAGTTTCATGAAAAATTTCGCAATATCCCGGGAACTGTCGTCGTCACGAGTTTATACTCATGGCTATATTTTAGCCCATTATGAATTATCCCTGATTTGCTTCTTCTCAGACTAAAATAATTTAATCTGGCTCGTCCAGTAATAGATGACATTTTAATACAAAATAAATTTATCTAATTAATTTATCTACTGTAGCTAGTTATCGTGGAATGCATATCTCTAACACAAATAAAACTATTCCATTTCTTCTCTACTATTATTCGTATAATGATTTTAATGTTCCTAATTCTGCGCAGCAAGAGCGGCTGCTTGCGGGCGATAGAGGAGGTGGAGACGATGAGTGACGAAGGATGCGTGTACATGCACAGGGATGTCATGAAGGACATGAGGGAGTGTACGTAATATGATTGAAGATGTAACGTTATGTTAAATTGTGATATTCCTAAATGGTATATTTGTAAGCACGGAGTTTAACACTAGTTTATGGTGAGCGTTTTACTCAATTTAATCGTAAATGAAATAAATTATACGATAACAATTCTTTTTTATTCATGAACAGAGAATACTTGTAAATACGGAAAAAAATTCCTTATGAGTTTCCGCTGGGTATACTTTATATAATATGTGAGTATACCTCGTATAAACGTGAGTTTTATACGAGGGTCAAACTGGGTCAGATTGACCACAAAGAGCAGAAACTGCTTATATTATTTGTAACAATTCACATTAATTTCCCTGAGTGCTGCAAACTTATTTTCTGGCCCACACAGACGAGGGCTGTGCGTTGTTCAAACCCCACGCCACCTACGACAAGGAACTGTGCGACCCCATGGCTAGTGTCGTCTTCCGCTGCGTGGCTCAAAAAAGGGAATACGTGAGTGACCTAGACTTATCTAGCCTTATCTAGCCTTACCTTACCTAACCTTACCTAGCCTTCCCTAACCTTACCTGACCTTACCTAACCTTACCTAACCTTACCTAACCTTACCTAACCTTACCTAACCTTACCTAACCTTACCTAACCTTACCTGACCTTACCTAACCTTACAAGACTGAGTAGACATTACATCTCAGTGCCACCGAGAAAACTAAAAAGTTCAGTGGCACTGACCGAGTAAATTATGAAATTCAGTGAGACTGAGTAGACAACAACGTGAATGGAAACCGTTGGATTTATAAACTAAAGCTTATAGTGCAGGGTGAACGGAAGGTCAACGGAGCTACCGCAACGTAGAAGTTTCCTGTCCGGGTAGATTATATATATAGCTCGACGTTTGGGGTCTCTATATTATTTATATTATTTCGCTTATTGAAATATATTAGAAAATTTTTCTATGCATCACTGGTGAAAACTCCGAGAATTATCTCTTTTGCGCCAGAACGGACCGGCCCGGAGAACCAACCTACAGCTAGTGACGACAAATGACGTTATGATAAATATGACAGTGATATATAGAACTATTTAATTAATATGGCAGTAATATATAGAACTACCTAATAAATATGGCAGTAATATATAGAACTAATTATTAAATATAGCTGTAACATATAGAACTAAAAAATAAACATGGCAGTAATATATGGAACTAATTATCATATATGGCGGCAATATATAGAACAAACTAATATGTATATCATTCAAACGAGTTTGTTTCATGGACCATATCGCGTTCTCCAAGCAGAAAAATTACCTTTTCAGTCTCATCGAGCAGAAAGAATCTTATCAGTCTCATCGAACAGAAAGAATCTTATCAGTCTCATCGAACAGAAAGAATCTTATCAGTCGCATTGAGCAGGAAGAATCTTATCAGTCTCATCAAGCAGAACGAATCTTATCAGTCTCTTCGAACAGAAAGAATCTTATCAGTCTGATCGAGCAGAAAGAATCTTATCAGTCTCATCGAACAGAAAGAATCTTATCAGTCGCATCGAGCAGGAAGAATCTTATCAGTCTCATCAAGCAGAAAGAATCTTATCAGTCTCTTCGAGCAGAAAGAATCTTATCAGTCTCATGGAACAGAAAGAATCTTATCAGTCTCATCGAAAAGAAAGAATCTTATCAGTCGCATCGAGCAGGAAGAATCTTATCAGTCTCATCGAGCAGAAATTCTTCAGCTAGTCTCATGACTCCTGAGGCTCAGCGACTGAGACGCTACCATGGAATCTCAAAGCGAACAGCTTTTGATCTTCATTTCAGTCAATTAATGGAAATTGTAATTAAAAATTTTGGCTTGCAGAAAAATAAAAATTGTGGTATTTATTATCCGATTATTATTATTATAACCTTTAAAGTGAATTGCGATCATTTAAAGTTTGACAAAATTGTACAAATGGTCAGTAAAGCCAAAATTTATTTCCTATTGAAATAAATGGCATAATGTCATATCATCAATTCGTGATCGAAAAAGCGAAAACATTCAAGCAGGTTTAAATTTCGAGTTATGGATGCTTGGTTACGCAATTTCCATACCACAACAAATGTTCAAAATAATGATGATTTTTTTTATCAACGCCAATGATAGATACAAGATTGAAAGAATATTAAAACATTGTCTTAGAAATTAATAAATAAATTAATTGATCCGTTTAATTGAGCTGAATGTAATGGGACGTGAGACGACAGCCGGAGCAGCCCGGCGCGTATATAAGGAGCGCGGCACCCGCTCAGGCTGACACACGCAGCGCAACGAGGCCGGAGGCAAGACGCACTGTGAGCTCCCGTGGATAATTCGGAACAAACAAACATGATTAGTTTCGCCTTCTTCGTGCTGGTCACTACTGCTTCGGTTTACGCGTAAGTTATTGTTAATTTAAATTAGTTAGTCTAATCATACTTTTATACATAGTTTCATGAGAAATTTTGCAATATCCCGGGAACGGTCGTCGTCACGAGTTTAAACTCATGGCTATACAGTATTTTAGTCCATTATGAATGTAGGAATATCTAGGATCAAATCAGAATATTTTGTTCAGTGTTCTTAAAAGCAGCATAAAGACTAAGAGCAAACCGTATTGTTCGATCTGACGCGATTAGAGCGGTTCGATGATTCCGTAGCACGTAGCGAACTTGGTGCCAACTTACCTTGGGGTTACGGAGGGATGTGCCCGTAGTTCAGCATCTGCAGAGGGAATCGACCGTAGAAGAGGCCAGTCCCAAACGTTGCCGCTCCTGAGCTCTTAACTAGTTCACCATCAAATTAATAATAAAACTTTCATGTGGGTAAAGCTTTTTAATTGAACCTCGGCACGGAAGATTATCACAATGAATGATCCCTGATTTGCTTCTTCTAAGACTAAAATAATATAATCTGGCACGTCCAATAGTAGATGACATTATTATACAAAATAAATTTATCTAATTCATTTATCTATTGTTGCTAGTTATCGTGGAATGCATATCTATAACACAAATAAAACAATTCCATTTCTTCTCTACTATTATTCGTATATTGATTTTAATGTACCTTATTTTGTGCAGCGAGAGCGGCTGCTTGCGGGCGATAGAGGAGGTGGAGACGATGAGTGACGAAGGATGCGTGTACATGCACAGGGATGTCATGAAGGACATGAGGGAGTGTACGTAATATGATTGAAGATGTAACGTTATGTTAAATTGTGATATTCCTAAATGGTATATTTGTAAGCACGGAGTTTAACACTAGTTTATGGTGAGCGTTTTACTCAATTTAATCGTAAATGAAATAAATTATACGATAACAATTCTTTTTTATTCATGAACAGAGAATACTTGTAAATACGGAAAAAAATTCCTTATGAGTTTCCGCTGGGTATACTTTATATAATATGTGAGTATACCTCGTATAAACGTGAGTTTTATACGAGGGTCAAACTGGGTCAGATTGACCACAAAGAGCAGAAACTGCTTATATTATTTGTAACAATTCACATTAATTTCCCTGAGTGCTGCAAACTTATTTTCTGGCCCACACAGACGAGGGCTGTGCGTTGTTCAAACCCCACGCCACCTACGACAAGGAACTGTGCGACCCCATGGCTAGTGTCGTCTTCCGCTGCGTGGCTCAAAAAAGGGAATACGTGAGTGACCTAGACTTATCTAGCCTTATCTAGCCTTACCTTACCTTACCTAGTCTTCCCTAACCTTCCCTAACCTACCTGACCTTACCTAACCTTACCTAACCTTATACCGGTAATCCAGTAGATAATGCATGAGTAATGAATGAAGATCCGTAAAATTATTGTTGCTGAGCATCACTCTATTTATCAACCCTAAAATCCGATCTCTTCACTTGCTCCTACCGTGAAATTTCTATAACATCAGTGGCTGCATTTGATGAAGAGCACAAGAGAAGAATGGACTTCTATTTGTTTATATCACATTGCAGCTAATTATTCATAATGGAATAAGCTGCGCATTTGTTCTCGAAAAGGGTTAGAAGAAAGCAAGTCATTTACTTTTGCTCTAGTTACGTTAAAATGGCACTATCCTAACAAAATTCGGTGACCGCTATGGGTTCGGTCGAATAGTCGTTACACTCGGCGAAAAGTCATTCTGCGTCTGCTTGGACAGCCGATCGAAATCAGTTTCTGGTCAGAATCTCCTTTCCGACTTTACAACAGCCTCAGAGTATGAGAAGAGTGTCATACCGAGCTAGCAAACTGCCCAGAGGCTGCCATTCACACCCTGAGCCGAAGTGGACATATATAAGCTGATTTAGATGCTCCGCGAGTCCTAGGTGGTTCCTAATTCAGAGTCGCCACCGCCTCTAAATTTTCACAGGGTAAATACATTCTATATCAGCTGAATAACACAATAACTGACTCGGCAGCTGGCTGAGGACGAAACGTTTGACGTGGTCGCCTTCAAGAGCAACGTGTTGAACAACGAGTGTGACGAAGAGCCTGAGTTTGACGTCGCCAACGAGGAGTGTGTTGGCCTCATGGACCATTTCAACGTTAGTGTTGCGTGACTAGCTAAAATATTATTAGTAAGCGGATAGATTAACTGCTTCGATATGTGTACGTTAGTATTTGGTGACTTAAGAAAATATTGTGGTTTTTAAGCGCTCACCATCATCACCTCACTCACCATCATTACCTAGCTCACCATCATCTCTTCTCTACAAATGCTCATCGAGTTGTCAACATCCCCACAAGTTTCAGTTCGTCTTCCGTCTCTCTCACGTTTGCCCCGCAGGTCGTCCTGTACGGCCGCTGCCTCGACCAGCACTTGAGCTGAGCGACGCTGCGCTCACGACTGCCAGAGCTCCGACTTCTCCTTCTGATTCTGTACGGACTAAACCTTCAGTATATAATATCAATATCCGCTTATATGTCTTTCCTTTTCCTTTTGAGCGGATTAACGGCTGAATGTTTCTGCTGTTGAAGTAAAGGAAGTCGCGGTAGATGAGAAATAAAGGAAAGAAACATGAATAATGTCAAGAGACCCTAATGGCGTTAACAAGAAACGTTAACAGAAGAATACGTAAAAGTACCGAACAACTGTAGGAGGAGTGCTTACTGAACAAAAAAGTGTTAAATTTTTCAAATATACATCATACAGAGACATAATCTTTGAGAGATGATAAGTGAATAACTTCCTTTCAAGCCAGGAAATGCTAGTATCATTAATTACTTAGCATTCCCAGTCTGCTGGGAATGCTGGCTGCACGGTACTTACAGTATAAATATATATGTACATGAAATAAAGGCTAAGTTGAACCACAAGAGGCAGTCAGGACGACACCTTTTCTTGTGATTTAACTTCACTGTCAAGAAGCATTTGCGGAGAATATATTTATAATAAAACATTTAAAAGAATTCACGGGATAGCCTCAGGTTAGCAATTTTTTGTAAATTGCGAACGGAGGAAATTGTCGATGTCGAGGAATAAATTGCATTGGCTTAAAGAATGTAATAGTTTTTAAGGTTTCATTTCCATCATTCGTGCTCTTGCCTGACCTGGCTCCAGTTGGATTCCCACATGAGACTTACTCATTATCACCATACAAGTGAATGTGATTAAATATTTACATGAAACAAAGTTTTTTAAGCCATAACATGAAATATGTAGACCTTGGGAAGGCGCGGACTACTAAAGCAGCTCTCGGTGCGACAATCGCAGGGGAAAAGAGGGCGGTACAAAAATTAACAACGCGTAGCAAGGCATTTTTGTTATGTCATTTTAAATATGAAAAAAAATTTATGTTGATTTAATAAATATTTGTGGATTTCTTCCTTGACGAGGACGAATTGTCATACTCTCAGTGGATGAACGTAGGTATAAGAAAAATTTAACTTTCTGAATCCCAGCACGAGAGAAGTTAATATATTTAGACTTATATTATCTCAGGAACATCCGTTTTAATGTTCATGTTGAAGGTACAAATCGCGGTTGATGAATTTAACAAATAGCGTCGTTTCGTTCAAATATCGATAATATGTACAATTTATCAGTAAAACGCTGGGGAAATTCTTCAACTTCAATACTCTATTATATAACGAAATAATTATATTTTTCATAGAAATGATGCTTATTATGTAATTGAAAAGAAGGGAAGGATGTCAATTGCGAAGTCCGATTCGCAAAATTATATTGAACAAATTTCTTTTAAACTAATGGAGGCTGACGCAATGAAGGTATTATACCATGGACAAACATGGTATTCATGACATAAGAGGGTAATATGGTATGCATGGTACAATAGGATATTATGGTATGCATGACACATAAGCAAAAAAGGCACGTGCAAAATAATATTTAGATAGTTATTCACAGACACGGGCACAACTTACCATTCAAGTGTCCTCCATTTACCTTCGGAAAATCGGCGAAGAGGTAATTGTGTTTTAAACCCGTTGGCTAGAAAAATACCTAGCATGTTAACTTTGAAAGTTCTTCTCTTCGCGTCCCTCAGAGCGTGCGTGAGGCCGCTCCATCGTGCCCGTGCCTGGGAATAATTATTTAAATATTAAGTCGCACATGCCTTCTTTGCTTATGTGTCATGCATACCATATCACCGTATTGGACAATACATACAATATTACCGTGTTGAACCATACATACCATATTACTGTGTTGTGTCACGCATATCACAATACCATATCGTGCTATATTACCGTATTGTACCACGTATACCATAATATCCTATTGGACCATACATACCATAATATCCTATTGCGCCTTACATACCATATTACCCTCTCATTTCATGAATACTATATTTGTCAATGGTATAATACCTTCGTCGCATCAGCCTCCATAGTTTAAAAGAAAAGTGGTCAATCAAATTTAGCGTCCCAGACTCCAGAATTGACATTCTTCCCATCTTTTCAATCACATCATAAGCATCATTTATATGAAAAATGTCAGTATCCAATAATATTGCAGTTAAAGAATTTACCTAACATTTTACTGATAAATTTTAAATATTATCGATATTTGAACAAAACAACGGTATAGTTAAATTCATCAACCGTCATTTGTACCTTCAACATGGAACATTATAACGGATGTTCCTGAGATAATATATGTCTAAATATTTTAACTTCTCTCGTGCTGAGAGTCGGAAACTTACAGTGGAGAAAATAAGTATTTGTCAGTCATCAATTGTGCAATTTCTCCCACTTAAAAAGATGAGAGAGGCCTGTAATTGACTCCATAAGACCTCAACTTTGAGAGACAAAAACAAAATGTGAAAAAATATGAGAAAACCATTTTGTCGGACTTTTTAAGAATTTATTTGCAAATAATGGTCGAAAATAAGTATTTGGTCACCTACAAACGAGCAATATTTCTGTCTGTCACAGCCCTGTAACTTCTTTTTTAAGAGACTTCATTTTCCCCCACTCATTACCTGCATTAATGGAACCCTGTTGTGTCCGGTGTCAATCTGGCGTCTCATTATAACCATTATATTGTATATAATTGAGACGTAATATTCACTTGATCTTATAGAGATTGAGGACGAGTCAACATCAGGTAGACACGTGATAGATCACGCGATCAAGACCTTAGTTGTGGGCGGAAGTGAGAAAGCTATATAAGGGCAAGCAACCTTAAGTAAGGCCCCCGCAGTAGTCGATAAGCGCTCACGATGTAGCGTGTCGGTTGAGTCTCCGACCTTACGGTCGACGCCGTAGCTTATAACCTCTGTATCGTAACTCTGCATTACCACCCTGTATAAAAGATACGTTATCTGTACTGATGTGTCTTACTTACCCCTCACTTATTAGTCAACGAACCCGATCCTCAGTTAGAGCTTAATATAATGAGCTCCAGTAATGAGTGCAACCTCTCACAGTTGGAGTCGTTAACAGTATGAAAGACACCTGCCCACAACCTCAAACATTCACATAAATAAATTCTTTAAAAGTACGCTAAAATGGTTTTCTCAATATTTTTTTCACATTTTGTCTCTCATAGTTCAGGTCTTATGATGTCAATTGCAGGCCTCTCTCATCTTTTTAAGTGGGAGAAATTGCACAATTGGTGACTGACTAAATGCTTATTTTCCCCACTGTAAGTTGTTCTTATTCCTATGTCCATCCACTGAGAGTACGACAATTCGTCCTCGTAAAGGAAGATATATTTTTTATCCACAAATATTTATTAAATCGACATAAAAAATCATATTTAAAATCACATAACAAAAATGCCTTGCTACGCGTTGTTAATTTTTGTACCGCTCTCTCTTCCCCTGCGATTGTCGCACCGAGAGCTGCTTTAGTAGTCCGCGCCACCCCAATGTCTACATATTTCATGTTATGGCTTAAAAAAAACTTTGATTCAAATAAATATTTAATCACATTCACGGGTATAGTTATAATGAGTAAGTCCCACGTGGGAATCCAACAGGAGCCAGGTCAGGTAAGAGCACGAATGATGGCACGAAGCCTTAAAAACTGTTACATTTTTTAAGCCAATGCAATTTAAGTTAGGGAATATTATAAATTTATTCATATTTCTTAGCAACAATTTCTCCATTTTCATTTATACTTTTCTGTTCCGCAAATTAGGTTTTATATGCTTTCAGGATTTTAGTCATTCATGTTATAGGTACGCGCTGGTAAGGACTACCACCCGGCACAACGCAATTGTACATAACCACTATTTGAAGTAAATGGGTTATAATTTTTTCTTTTAAATAAGTACCAACCTGCAAGACAGTGTTTGAGTTAGAAGAGCGGTAGTCCCCCAGCATAATTGGTGCCGTGACCTCAAGGTTATATTGTCTAGTGTCAGTGTAATATTGTATTTTGTATACCGGCCTGCCCTCCGTCGTGTTTTGATTCAACTGCTCTTCTATCATGGCCGAGCCTACCATACTTGGAAGAGACGTACCTGTATGTACGCAAGAACAGGAAGATTTTATAGTCGAGAACATTGAATACATGAGCACGTTCCTAGAGAATCTACAAGACAATCAGAATTACCTTTCGACACTGATTGAAGTGAATCTTAAGAATTTTATGAAGAAATTGTCAACATATGTAGATTTTTTGCCCGTGTGCACAGCTCTTGCACCTGTCAAGAATTTTAAAGCACAGCACGAGCCCCTGAAGATGTCAGCAGAAAGGCCGCGTCAAGTTTTCCGAAAACCTCGGTTGGTGCCTCTCAATGAGCAGGGCCGCTCTCGACCGTTCGACACAGATCCTGTATGAGTATCTGCATGTGGACCAGCAAACTAGTGAAGATGTCATCTGCAACTACTGTCATCGTGTTGGACACTTGAGTCTCAATTGTCGTTCGCGTCTCGGCCTGTGCTTCGTTTGTGGAGGCAGTGGACATTTCATTTGAAGCTGCCCTCAACGTCGAGAGGTTCATCGGTACGGAGAGCCAACATCTACAGTATTTCTAAACCATTTTAAGTATGCAATCAATCGCGGGATTCAAATATAAGAGATGCACCGGTTAACCTTGATTTGTCTAAAAATCTATATTTAACGCCCGATAATAATGATCATGTACTTGAAAACTGTGTATAGATGCCTGATTCAGAAGTATCAGCTTTCGATCGCGTGAATAATTTTAATGTGTACACCTTGAATGTAGAAACTTTATCGGATAGGAGAGCGAGTGTAAAGATTCTGGTGTTGCAGCTGATGTAAATGTGTCTAAAAATTTCGATGATAATCAGGCTGACGATAACTGTCCAGTAGTTCCTGCTACAAAGTTCATTTTAGATTTGAGAGAGTAATTTTATGACCTGAAAGCCAGAATTTTTTTTTGCAGCAAACGTTGTCGAATACATCTCGCACGGAAATTCATGACAGTTCCTCTAGCAGCAAGACTCTTTGAATAGTTGGAAGTAGAGGAAAATACGAAGTAT